TCTCTCTCTCTCTCTCTCTCTCTCTCTCTCTCTCTCTCTCTCTCTCTCCGTGTGTCTCTCTCTCTCAATCTCTTTTTCTCCTCACTTCCAGTCAGACGAAAGAGTAAGTAAGCCCTGAAGCGAGTTCGACGGACTTGTTTCCTGTCGCTCATACCACGGCCGCCATCGCCGAGTTTAGTAGAAGTCGTCGAACTTGATCCGCACTTCGCCGTGCAGATAGTCTCGATCGAAGAACGGCGGTTCTGCGTGCACGACGTACAACGCCGGCTCGTGGAGGCGGTCGGCGTACCCCATCGCCATGTTGTAGCTGAATAGGTCGATGATGTCTACCAACACGTCGACGCCTCATGGCCAGGGGTTGGGGATGGCTGTCCCCACCTTTCGCGCGAAGACCACCACCTGCCGCAGAAGACTTCTGCCAAATCCGAAGTCGAGTGTCAGATGGAGGCACGTGTCTTCATCGGCGTCGATCTCGTAATGGTGCACTTCATGCCTGAAGACGCCATTTTCGAATCCGAAATCCCTACTGTAATCCTGCCCCCGCCGGTGCCGCATCTCGTAGAAGATGACGAACCGACCCAAGACCCTCCCCCGCAGCGCCACGTCAACCTCCATCTGCACTGCAATCCAGCAAGGAGCAGAAGTGGATCCCCGCTGTGACCAACTGTCTCCAACGCGCGTGAGCAAAACCTGCACTCCTCCCACCAGGCACGACCACCGAGAACCGCCCACGGGCAGCACAACGGATGATGAATACGACCGCAGAATGATCGCCGAAAGCAAGGCAGTGATAATCGTCGCACCAATGCTGCTAGCCGCCACAGGTCGTGCGAGTATTTGTAGTCCACCACGGACGGGATGTCGTGTTCAAAGTCCCCGGCGTCGTCTTCATCGCCATCCAATGGCTTGCTTCCATCAACGAACGGTTGCATCACATCCCCCGTGGAGGGTTGTGCCTGCGTTGTCAGCGAAGGGGCGCACAACAGGGGTGGGCCCCGAAATTGGGCGCAGATAGTGGGGAGGGAGGTTTCGTGGGTTGGGGGGTGTTACTTATATGGGTGGCGCAGGTAGCGGGGTGTTGGGGGCATGTTCGGAAGCCGGGGGGTGAGGGGCTTCGGTGCCTGTCCATCTCAACTCTGAGATAGCGCGGATGCTATCTTGAGCAATGCATCGCACAGCATGCGCTGACCCACATCAAGCACCTCGGACTGTTTCTCCTGCGTCCTCGCCTCCCTCTCCATGATGTCGCATTGTCGTTGCAACACATCGCATTGACGCTTGCTGGCATGGTCTACAGAGTCCACCACGACTGTCGAATGCGTCTTTATCACGTCCGTGACAACATCGAAGGCCAGCTGCCGCACATTCTTCCGCTTCCCTGGAGGCGTGCCCCCTGAAGATCTGTTGCCATACCCGTCCCCCGCTCCGCTATCCATGTTGTCACTCGCAGACGTCTCTCCTGCGGCTGTCGGCCCCCGCGGTTGGCTCTGGTCACCCTCATTTGGTTCTTGTGGAGGCAGTCCGCCAGTGTCATGTAGATTAGGCAGGTGTATGGCCTTATTGTTGGGGGTTGTTGCGTGGATGGCATCATACAGTTGTCTATCCATCGTGAACTTGAAGCCTAGTTCTTTGCGCTTCTTCGAGGTGAGCAGGAAAAAAGATTGCACGCCCGAATCTTTTTCCCTGTCCCAAATTTTTCTGTACCGCCCGAAAATGTTCTCCCATCTCTTCATGCACGAATCCCCATCTCTATTCGTGACACCCTGCTGCACCATCCGCTTTGCTATCTCGTTCCATTTCCACGTCTTCGTCTTCATCCGCACGAAGTTGCTGCCTTGGCTCGCCATATACTCGTCCAGGTCCCTCTTTCACCGGACAAGGACGAGCGATTCATCCAAATGGCAGTTCTGCCGCGTGCTCCCTCCCCCACCCTCACCATCCGCACCCCCCCCTTCCTCCCTCGCCTTCGACGTCGCACGACTCTTGCTTGCCTTCTTCTTCCCCCCCTTCGATGTTGGCTCCTTCACCGCAGGCTCGCCATCGTCGTCGCTTTCATCGTCGTCGTCCGTGCAATCCTCCGCCCTATGTTGCACGCCCGGCCGCGGCCGGGGGGTCCGAATCGGCCGCGGCCTCGGCCGATGGCCGAATCGTCTGGGTTCGGCCTAGGCCCACCAGCCGAGTTGCCTGCAGGATTTCGTTTTTTTTTTAACGCATGAAAAATATATATATCTGTCTCTTATACACATCTCGGAGGGAATGACGGTCAGTTAGGAGTCGCAGAGGCTATTGTTTTTTTTTTTTTTTTTTTTTTTTTTTTTTTTTTTTTTTTTTTTTGGGGGGGGGGGGGGCGTTTTGGGGGGACTACCGGTCGCACGCCGGTGGGTACCTCGCACGACACGACGCGTTAACGACCGCATCAAATTCTTCAAGCAGGGAGAGGTACTGGTGGTTTAAGTCGAGGTCAGCATCCCGAAGGGTGCAGCGCCAGGCACAGTTGCGGTCTACTATCCAATCCATGACCGTTTGATTCCCCGCCCCTTAATACTTCCGGGTACTACAGCGGCTGCCAGCTATTCTGATCCCACGCCACCCCCGAAACATTTTTCCAGAGGGTGGAGGAGAGGCAGGTAAGGAGGCCTGTATCGAACCAAATGAAGCTAGGCTTAATTTTCGATAGTTGCAGATCCACCAGGGCGGCGTTGGACATCCAGATCAGGTCAGCCTCCTTTTGGTCGTCAAGGAGAGTATAAAGATCATTGTCCGCTATTCGACAGGAGCCTGAGCCAACTCTTATCATGGATTGGGGTCCTGCCTTGTAGTGGGAAGTAATGATGAAATCCTTGACATCTTTCGATGTGAAGCTGCCCTTCCCCTCTGAATCCTGTTGCAGCCGTCATCCATGCACCGCCCAGCCTTTTCCATAATTATTCTGGTCTACTAGGGAGAGGCCTACTTCCCATTTGCCATTCTTTTTCCTGAGCGGGAGCGCCGGGACTTTGAGAGGCAAAGGGCCTTGGAAGAGGCCTTCTTCGATCAGATGGCGCAGCCGGGGTCTGTGGGGCAACTCCCATTCGTCCATCATGTCATGTGCCAGGGCTCCGAGATGCGACTGGGAGGGGGTCGGAAACAAGGGGGTAGCTGTGGCAGCATGGGCTGCAGGGACCAGGGAGAGGGTGGGCAAGGGGGGGGCGGATGCTGTGTCGTCGCTCATACATCGTACGGGGGGTCTCCGTACGGCCCATGCGTACGGACATACGGACGATGGCCGTCCGAAGGTGTTTTAGGGGAAAAACAAAATAAAAAAATAAAAATAAAAATATGGGGTTGTAGATCTTTTCGACATCTAGAACCTCATTTTTTTCTCTATTTTTTGGCCTTAAAGAGGATTTTTAAAAAGAAAAAAAAGAGAAAAAAAAAAAAAAAAAAAAAAGAGAAAAAAAAGAATTTGGTAGCACAAAAAAACGGGCAGTTGCCCCGTGTGTGTGTGTGTGTGTGTGTGTTCACGGGGGGGAGGCAAACCCCCCCACTTCATATAAATCAATCAATCAAAAAAGGCCACGCGCGTTTGTGTGTATGTGTGCGTGTGTGTGTGTTGTCATATTCACTATACACTCAAAAAAAGTATGACTTTATGTGTGTGTGTGCATGTGTGTGTGTGTGTGTGTGTGTGTGCATGTGTGTGTGTGTGTGTGTTCGCGGGGGGGGGCGANCCCCCGACTCGAGACCCGTTCCCTGCCCCCCAACCCCCCTCCCTGATTCGCAGCGGCATCGGCCGAAAGTTCTTGGCCGGCCCGGCCGTGGTCAGGGGGGTCCCGGCCGCCGGCCGCCGGCCGCGGCCACCGTGCAACATAGCCTCCGCCACATCCTCACCGTCAGCGCAGGTGTCACCTCCATCATCGCGTTCAACGTCCGAACACATCCTTGAGTACAGCGCTATGATCCTCTCTATCACTTGGGGGGACTCTGCCGCAGTCGCCGTCGTCACTCTTCCGTTCACAACAGCGTGCGGAACCCCAGTGCCGAGAGGAGTTCTGAAGCCCGGTGGTCGACTGTGGCTGCTCGTGCATGCAGACGATGACCTCGCCGGCCGCTGTGTCTGAGGTCCGTTTTCTCGGGCGTCCTGCATTGTCACCAACACACCGCCCTGTGACCGACTGCTGTGCTCCACGAGGACGGTTCTTGAAGCATCCATACTACACGACGGCGACAAGTGCAGTTGCAAAGGATCCGCCCCCGCCCCCCCCCCTCCCGTCAACAACGTGGACATCGGACCCATCCCAGTGCCGCGATCACCCGATCTGCCCCCGGTCTCGTAGGAGGTCTGCGTGGACCCCCGTGCGAGAGGGAGGGTTGAAGGGGGCGGCACCCAGTCCTCTTCATCTGGCAAGGGCTGCATGTAACTCGGCAGATGGGCGTACAATGCGGGGTCGAATCGGTTGCACATTCCGTTGGGAACGCCGTTCGTAGGGGCAGACCCCATCCCATACATGTGCCCGCCATGGAGATTATCATCGCCCATCCCTTTCCTCGCCCTGCGTCCTCCGCAGTCCTTCTTCGTTTGCTTCTTCCGCGGACGGGCCCGACAGTGCCTCAGCAACTGGCACAGTTGGACCACAATCACGATCAGCAAAGCGACGAGGAGGATTGACAGCAAAGCAGTCTTCCTCAGGAGGTCTTCCATGCGCACACGTGAGGTGTGATGAAGACAAGCAGCAAAGGAGGCAGTTTGGAATACGACAACGCTTCTCCTGACGCAGTTGCTATTTACATGGATCGGCCACCGCCAAGGGAGTGTTGTGTCCAGCCCTCTCGTCCCGACAACTTCCATCGACTGGCCGTTGGCAGGGACGGCGCTAACGATCTGCACATTTCGTATTTGAATAACCTCCCGCCAACGGCCATCCGCCCCCCTGCCTCTTCCGGAAAGTCGTTCCTCCCCTCCCAATGGCCACTGTGGCCTCGCAACGGCACTGGATCCACCGGTACCGGGTCTCGCCGGTGCCAATGTCCCGCCGAAGGGCTGGTTGCCCACGCACTGGACCAGGAACAAACGCGGTTCGTCAGGAAAGAAAAAAAATTGCCGACCGCCTCCGCGAATGACGAGATCTGTAGGGTCCCACCCTCACATTTCAGGTCACCTCTGACGGCTCCCTAGAGATTTCCATCGTTTTGCCTGGGCCGCCCTTATTTTTTAAGGGCAGACCCTACAGCCCCAAAATGTGGAAACACTCCGGAGTTCGTTTTCGTCGTGAACGATGATTTTGTAAGGATCCTTACATTTGAAGTGGTATGGAAAGAGGCCCTTACGCGGCCCAGGCAAAACGACGGAAATTGCGTAAGGGCCTCGTTCCATACCACTTGAAATGTAAGGATCTTTACAAAATCATGGTTCCATAGCACCCTAATCACGACGAAAACAAACTCCGGAGTGTTTCCACATTTTGGGGCTGTAGGGTCTGCCCTTAAAAAATAAGGGCGGCCCAGGCAAAACGATGGAAATCTCTAGGGAGCCGTCGGAGGTGACCTGACATGTGAGGGTGGGACAGGGGCCATGCTAATCTTCGCTGTCTCGTTCCAAATTTTAACAGATGTCCCTAGGGACGAGGCTGTCTTTTCCTCTGTAGAGAGGGTAGCTCATCAGCATGTTGAATTGCGGTTCCCTTGAATCGCTGCTGACTCGAGCGCATGATCTGTCGACCAAAGGTCACGTGCGTCTCGCAGTCAGCCATGTGGGCTGGGGTACCGGCGGACCGAAAAAAAAGGAAGAAAAGAAGGAAAAAACGGCAAAAAAAAGAAGACGAGTGCCAGCTGAACCTGTGGACAGTGCGCTTGTAATACTTCTCTCGCTGGTTCAAACCCTCCTGAAGGTCAAGGCCACTTGCGGGTTCACATCAGTGCCCTTCTCCGGGTGGTATCACGTGGGCCTATCAGTGCACTTTGTCCGGGAGGTATCAGTGCAATTTGTCCGGGTGGTATCAGTGCACTTTGTCCGGGTGGT